AAGTGACTTTTGCAAACAGGAATAGTTTGGTCCAGTTGTCTTGCTTGTAATTAATGAAACATCTTAGGTACTGCTCCAGTACTGAGTTCGACTGTTCAGTCCCACCATTTGCGGACGATGACTAGATGACAACCCCTGAATGGTCCCCAATAGTCCCAGGAATGCTTTCCAAAACTCTGATGTGAATTGTACTCGCCCGTCTGATATGATTCGTTGTGGAGCCCCATGAAGTCGATAAATACGTTGGACGAATAACTTTGCAAGTGTCTTTGCATTGGGGATTTTTTGGCATGGAATAAAATGTACTTGTTTAGAGAACAAATCCGTCACGATCCAAATGACTATGTTCCCCCCACTTTCTGGTAACTCCACAATAAAGTCCATAGAAATTTCGTTCCAAGGCACTGATGGGGTCGCTACTGTTTGCAACAAGCCTGGGGTCTTCCCTTCTCTCCTCTTAGCTACAGCACATATTGGGCAACTAGCCACATAGCTTTCAATGTCCTTTTTTATCGATGGCCACCAAAACTGCCATTTCACTAGGTGTAAAGTTTTTACAAACCCAAAATGACCAGCTGATTTTGAATCATGGCATAGCTGCATAAAAATCAGCTTCTGGCTTTTTGGAATGTAAAGCTTCCCTCCCACCCATGGCAGTCCATCAGTCATGGTGCATAGGTTTTTGTGGCTTAGGAACCATTTGTCAGTCTCTGGCGCTTTTTTGAATTCAATCCCTTTTTTGGCTCGCTGGAGGCTTCTGGATTTTGGCTTGTGCTCAGGCGGTGACTTGTGCTGCCAATTGTTTTGATGGCATGAGTGGGTCTGTTATCTCTATCCTATTACTGTTGTATTGTGGCAGCCTGGACAATGCATCAGCTAGGAAATTCTTTCCTCCCGGTAAGTGCTTTAGGGTGAAATTAAATTGGTGGAAATGCTGCGATCACCTCGCTTGTTTAGGGGTTAGTTTTCTAGGCATCTTTAGGGCTTCTAGGTTCTTGTGGTTGGTCCATACTTAGAAGGGGATTTTGTTCCCTTCCAGGAAATGCTACCAGGTTAGGAGGGCCCATTGGACAGCATAAGCCTCCTTCTCCCAGACTGCCCACCTCTGTTCTGTCTCTGTGAGTTTCCTCGATTAGTACTGCCTCCACAGCTACATCGCTGGTATCAGCTTGAATCACAAATTGTTTATCAGTATCAGGGTGTTTTAGAACTGGTTCTGCAGAAAATAGTGTTTTCAGTCTTTCAAATGTGGTTTGACATTCTACTGTCCATTTCAAAGGCTTCAGCTTCCCTTCCCCTTTGGTTTTTAGTAAGTTAGGATTGGGCAATGCAATCTGTGCGAAAGAGGGAATGAATTGTCAGTAAAAATTAGCAAATCCAAGGAAGCTTTGCAATTGCTTTCTGGTGCGGGGCAGAGCCCACTCTAATACAGCTTGGACCTCCCTCCTTCCTTCTGCTGAGTGGGGGATGTGTCTCACCCCTTGCAGCCCCGTGCCCTCAACAGAGACCTTCTGCAATGGCAGGCTGCAAACTAATGAAAGCTGTTTTTTTGGAGTACTTGTTTCTTTTTCTCAATGTGCCGCCGATCGCATCGTACTATTCCCCCCTCAGCTCCCTTCCCCAGCCCTGCGGAAGGCTGCAAGAAGCTCCCATTGCAGCTTCTCTTATCTCTCCCATTCTTTTCCTCCCCAATGTCACAGCGTGGAGCTGCAAGAGGTGAGACACCCCCTCTGCACATGTGCACACACACACACTCACACAAACACATGCACGGGTTCTGGGAGAGGTGAGCTGAGAGCCATTTGGAGGCCCTTCAGAAGCAGAGGGGAGGGATTAAAATGGGAAGCCTCTGCCCGGAGCCTCTGGCAACTTTAAAAAAAATGTGCGGAGCAGCGGCTTCCCTTTTTGTCCACCCTCCACTCTGTTGTCTCCATGCCGGGATTGAGTCTACATCTGCCGAAAGGGCACTCAGGAAGGGGCGAGGAGAGGAAGAGAGATTGGCAGTGTTGCCAGTGGCTGGGGGCAGGAGAGTCCCAATGAAAGGGAAACCTTGCAGACTGAGGCCAGGCCGGTGAGCGGGACATGGAGGCACTAGTGCGGGCGTGATGCTGATCTACAACTTGGTGTGGAATGTTGCCAGCCTTAGATCTGCGGTGCTGCCCTGGAGCCAGCGAAGGGCCACCTTACCGCCTCGTCCCCACCCCCTGGGCCTGCGCCCAGGAGGTGGCGAGCATGTGAGGACTGGCATCCTGAGTGAAAGGGAAACTCTCAGAACGCAGTCCCTAGGGACACCAGGCCTCACACACTTGCTGCCTCCTGTGTGCATACCCAGAGGGAGGGGCAGGAGTGATTCCTCGCTGGTTCTAGGGCAGTGCTGTGGATCTAAGGCTGACCATGTTGTAAATCAGTGCCTGGTTGGCCTGGGCCATTTCCAAGGCGGTTCCACTGACTCCAATCTAACATCACGGCAGGCCAGATTTGGCCCGCAGGCCTTGTGTTTGACATGTCTGATTTAGGCTATTTGCTAGCAGAGGAGCCTTCTCTGCCACACCTTTGGTCCTTTGGAACATCTTGCTTCCTGAGGCTAGATTGGCTTCCACCCTCCTTACCTTCTGTAAAAGCCTGAAGATCTGACTATGTCAGTTGTCTTGGGGCCCCAATGGGGGAGTATCACACTTGAGGAGGGTTGATTCAACTTTCCCTGATGCATTCTGCTCCCTCCCTCTCC